ATATGTAGGCTATGAAATTTGATAAGCCAATAGCAAACTTCATCTGGAAGTAGAATAAGGGAGATATTTCAAAAGGTGGATTGTTTTCAAAGTTGTGATGTAACAGAAAATGCCCTCCCCACCCCCAGCCAGTGTATTTCAGTTTCTGAGTTGCCCAGGTAATGTAATAGTTCCTGTTGCGGATCCAGCTGCTTCTGTCTCTTAGAGACGCCTGGCCACTGTGATGCATAGCTGGTCACTGTGATGCACACTGTATAACCAATCCCCAGTTGACAAGTCATTCTGCCTCTGTACTTCCTTAAAAATAATACTTATCCCATATAAGCCCTAGAACCCAGAGATCAGAGCCTGATATTCCAGGAATGATCCCGATCAGTGCCTGTCGACGTAAATAAACCTGCCTCTAAATCCTGGGTGTCGTTTTGGTGCTTCTGCTTGCCATTGCAGTAAAACAGTACAAACTGAGAATCACTTTATTTTCATGAATTTTGTTAAAATACTTACAAAAATCTATGGTGTGGCCGGACATGGTGGTGCACACCTGTAATCCCAGCACTCAGGAGTCTGAGGCAGGAGGATCGCCTCAGGTTAGAGACCAGCCTGGGGCATGTAGTAAGTTTAAGGCCAGCCTGAATTAGATAGAGAGACCCTGTCTCAAACAAACAAAACAAAACAAATCCATGGTGTGTACTAGAGGCTGAGGGAGAGAATAAGGATTAGTAATTACTGACACACAAGAAGACAAACCTTAGGTAAGTTAGGGGTGAGGCAAGACGTTCCTAGTTAGTAAGTATGTGGAGGACAGTTGAGTATCAGTGTGGAAACATGTCAGAATGTATGAGTTAGGTCCCCTAAAGCATCAGATTCCAGAGAGTTTAGAGTTAAAAACTAGAATAAAAACACAGGGCTGGGGATTTAGCTCAGCGGCACAGTGCCTGCCTGGCAAGCGCAAGGTCCTGAGTTAGATGCCTGGTACCAAAAAAAAAAGCAAAGCAAAACAAAACAAAACAAAACAAAATATAGACTGTCCTTTCCTTTCGTAGAAGAAAAGTTTTGCTTATATTAAATAAATAGTATTGATCCAAATAAGTAATAGTTAACAATCAGTTTATATAAGGGAAGATAATGAAATAAATGTGCTAAATAAAGACTCAGAATGTGAGATCTGAAAACAGCTCTGAAAAGTCTATTAAACTGATACGTAGTGTGCAGTCATTACCCAGGCTTTTGGAAAGTGGTTCAGAGGGTCTGAATTGCTTACACATGAAAGAAAATAGAAATGTAACGAATATATGAAAAACTATGCAGCCTTGTTAGCAATGTGAGAAATGCAAATTAAAATAACTTTTAGGTAACATTAAATTGACAAAACTAGTTAGCATTTACAGAGCAGTCAGTTCAGGTAGGAAACAGCACATTACAAAAAATGTGGGTAGGGACAGGGGAACCTAGAAGGGCTAGGACAGCACCCAGGAACTGGGGACAAGGCAGAGCTGTTACCTCCCAGGGACTGGACGAGGCAAAGGACAAGCCAGTGCTCCTGGAGCCTGGGGAGTTTGCACACAGGGAAGAGGGGCTCCAGGAGGGGCTGAGCCAGGGACCTGGGCAGGGAGAGGAGATGGGGATGGAGCAGAGGGAGAGACGGTTGCAGACTTCCTCCTTGTCTGCTTCTCTCTCATCTCCTCACATGAGCTGACCCCAAGCAGAGCCTGAAAGCAAGAGCTGGCTGGTGGGAATGCAAGGACATCCTAGGTATCCATAGATACCTTATTGATGGCACTGGAAATTCATTATTTTGAGGATCAACTCAGAAAGCAGTTTAAAATTGTCTGCACACTCTCATCTGGTGATTTTTTTCCCTTGGGTAAATAGACCAGCAAAATCTGAAAGTAAAATCAGTAATTGTGCACAATTCCTTATAATAGCTAAATAAATAGCTAAATAAATAGCTAAATAAATCCACACAGACTAGCAAGAAGGAAATCACTAAGAAAATGATTTGTAATTGTGTTAATGTGCACCTTAACTCATTCCAAAAATAGATTAAAGCATGATGGTGCATTAAAATGATGGAATAAATATATAGCCTTTTAAAATAAGTGGTTAGGTAATGACTGCACATGGAAATGTTTTATAGGAAGCTATCATATCATTAATATGTGCAAACAGATTGAAATTTTTAAAATATATGTATTACACATAAAAAAGCACATAACAATGTAATGTGGTTTAATTTCATTTGGGCCATTTTCAATCTTTGTTCTAAAGAAGCAATAAAGGGCCAGGGATATAGATCAGTAGCACAGTGCCTGCCTGGTAAGTGCAAGGTCCTGAGTTCGAGTCCCGGTACCAAAACAACAACAATAACAACAACAAACTAAAGCAGCAATAAAAATAAAGGACAGGATAAGAATATTATACTATTTATTAGGTTCTTTTTTCTTAAAAAGTTTTTAAAGATTTTTAAGAAAAATGGCCTCCTACATTTTCAGGCTATCCATCCTACTACAGTGTAGGCTACAAGGTGAAAATGTTATCACTCATATGTGGCAGAAAAATATCTTGAGAAGAGGAATAGGTTCTGCACAGTTTTGTAAACACAGACTTTTCATTATCCAGGATTTTGTGCAAAGCCTTTATCTAGAAGTAGATTACTTTTATTAATGTACTGACTGGAAGGAAATTTCTGGGTGATGCTCTGGCTATTGTCCAGTTACCTGTAATGGAGTGTGACACTGTAATAACTCCCAAGAGCCCCGCACAATTGCGTGAGATATCTCTGGATAAAGAAGATGGTCGTTTGGGCTGGTTGTACCGGAAATGGTCAGCTACCTGTTTAAAGACAGTTTTAGGCTTCAGAAAAGTTTCAGTGCAAAAGCCAGTGCTAGAGAGATTCTAAAAGAACTAAATCACAATTCATGTCCATCATGAGAAAATCAATTGTATATTAGTTCTGGGATAACATTAAATTTTAATCTTAGGTTACAGAGTTCAATAACTATACGGTACTCCACAGTTACCCTAAAATAAAAATAACAGTCCTTAGTCTTTCTTTCATTTTTAAAATTAATTGATTCATTCATTTCATAAACAGTTTCACTTTCTACAGTTTCAGTTATCTGAGGTTGTCAGAAGTTAAAAAATATTCAATGGAAAATTTCAGAAATAAATAATTCATAAGTTTTCCATTGCATACCATTCTGAAAATCGTGATGAAATCTCAATCTATCCTGAGTCGTCACAGGACCTCTGGGATAAATCATCTCTTTTTTCAACCTATCTGTGCTGTATATGCTATATCTACTTGGTAGCCAGTTGGAAACCCTGTCTGGTATCATAGTAGCCTGTTGTCTGTATGATCATGTTCCTGTAACCCTTACTTTACTTCATTACCGCCCAAGCATGCGAGAACAGGGATGCTGGCAATTCACATATGCCCAAGAGAAGTTATAAAGTGCTTCCTTTAAGTGGAAAGGTGAAAGTGCAGTAGGATACTCAGAGAAGGAATGTATTCACATAAGATTCCTCATAGTATATTGTAGTCATTCTGTCTTATTATGTTATTGTTGGTAATCTCTTACTGTGCCTAATTTGTGGGTTAAAATGTATCCTAGGTATGCATGTATAGGAAAAAGCATATACTGTATAAGCTTTTGTGCTATGTATCCATGGTTTCAACTATTTGATGGGGGTTTTGGAACATTTCCCCTGTAAACAATGGGGAGAGGCTACATGGAACATCTTGGATGTACCAGGCATTGTTATATGCTGTGACAACAGCTAAATTACATCGTTTGCCTTAATTTGTTCCTTTTAATTATATCATTCCCTAAAATAACCCTATGATATTAATTATACCAAAAAGCTTTTAGTTTTAATAACAGCATCAGGGAGGTATCCTACTAGAAGAGTAAAGAATGAACTGCCCACATGGGAAGCAGCTTAGACACAAACATGATTTCTTCCTCCTCTCTCCATTTTACAACTGTGAGCTTCAGCACATCCATTTTACAAAGCAGAAACCCTGGAACACATGGTTCCCAAAGGGAATTTTTCACTTTATGAATTTGTGAGAAAAAATTTCTTAAAGCAACATCAGATTAAATTACACTTATTCTTTTGATGAAGCACCTTATGGGAAAGACAAAAGTGACATAAATTTTGGATTGCCTAAGAACATCTGGAACAGATGGTCACCATATTTACCCACCGTGCTTTGTGAATGTGTAAGCTTTCTTTCTCTGTCTCGGTGTCTCAGTCTTTTCCCACACACTCTGTTCTCTCGCTTCCCCATCTTCCTCTCCTTTTATATCTCCGTGTTTCCTGTGTGTCTTTCAAAGACTACCTAACACATGGATGTACAGATCCTAGCGGAAGCAGAGCTGTCCTTCTGTGGCTCTTCCCTAGCTGCAATATGGTGTTGTCTCGCTTGGCCTACACTGCCAAAAATGTATCCAAATGTCCCTTTCGTGCTTCCCAGATAGTCTTAAATTTGTCTTCTCTCACTTTTCTATTTTCCTTTCCAGATAATTTCTGTCTTTTCCCTGTTCCATGTGGGCCAATTCTTTTAAGGGAAAATGCCCGTGGACATAAACTACCATTAATTATGCTCACCAGATCCTTTTACTTGTAATGACTGTTTCCTCTTTGGCTTCCTCAAGTTAAGTGGGAAAGTGTTTTCCAGAAGAGCCATGCTTGGGGACTGAGGGGAAGGTTGCACAAGAGAAGAGAGAGAGGAAGAAAAAAAGCACAAACATGAGAATGAAAGTCTGTGAAAAAATTCTGGGCCCTGGCTGAAGTGACCATCAAACTTGAAGGAAAAACTATTGCAGGACGATACAGTTCAGTGGATTTGGGGAAGAAACATTTCTATTCAAAACATCTTTAAAAAGCATAAAAACTGTTACAGAGAGCTATTATTGCAGGATGATTTTTAGAAGGTTCCAGAACCGAGTTATAAGGTAAAGTGTGGTGAAACGTATTGAATTGTTTCTCCCCAGGTTTGCAACACAACTACTGACAGGAAACATGCAGACGTCTCCTTGGAGAAGTGTGTTACTGAGTCCATCATGAACATTGTGAGCGGCTTCTTCAACTCTCCTTTTTCAGACAACAGTACCAGCCTCCAGGTAAGCTGACCAAACACTGAACAGAAGCGTGTTGTCACAACCCTCCTTCTTTGCGTCGGTAATAATCCTATGATGTTCGTGATACTAAATCTTTAATCTGGTCAGAAATTCATATTTGATATTTCTGATGGTCACTGTTCTCTCATATGTTTTACCCTTCAGCCCCTTTCTGAGTTTACCAAACTTTAGCTTAAATAAAGAGACCTCTTCTTTCAACTGAATTGTGTTTCCTCTCTAAGCAGAATAAGAGCTTTGAGATCTGTTTGTTGACTGTTTGCCAATTGTTGAAGCAGTGGTATAGTTCTTTAAATGGATAGGCATTCTGAATCAGTAGTTCCACTTTAGGTAATTTATTCTAAAACAATGAACAGAGGTGTACATATTAATATTTTCATCCAGTTATTTATAATACTTAAAAATTGATGTCACCTTTAAGTGTCCATGGTAGGGGAACAACTAACTAAATTAATTATGGTATATCTATGGGGTGGCTTATTATACAGCAATTAAAATTCATGTTTTAAAAGCAAAATGATTATGGAGTCATGTTCAACCACAGAATTACATTACTGTATCATGCAAATTTGTTTGCATAAAGAATACATGTGCATATACATGAAGAGAAATTCAGGAAGGACATACAACCAGCCTACTGCATCCACTGGTTTTTCATCTGTGGATTCAACAAAAAATAAAGGAAAAAAATTGCATCTGTACTGAACATGTAGAGATTGTATTTCCTTGCCACGATTGTCTAAGCAATATAGCAATGATTTACATAGCATTTACAATCTGCTAGATACTATAAGTAATGTAGAGATATTAAATAGTGTAGAGATATTATAAGTAATGTAGAGTATAGGGAAGGTTATATGTAAATGCTACACAATTTTATATAAGGAACTTGAGCATTTGTGGGTTTTGTCATCTTGGTGGTGGGGTAGCTGGACCAAGTCCCCCGCAAATATGAGTAATGACAATATCTTTCATTGTTGATACTGATCGTCTCCACATTGAATGATCATTGACTATTTTCATTTCTGTGGTCCCAGGTAGTCTTTCTTTAGGCAAACCTTTTAAACCAATAGTTAGGCAAGCAAGACATGTTTTTGTAGTTCAAAATGTCTGTCCGTTCTACTTACCCATTATATATAACCAAACCAACAAAACTAGAAACATCTGCTGTGTTTGTGCTTGGGAGTCAACAAAGGTTTATAAAAAGTATTAAAATTCATTTCACTTGCTTCAAGAAATGGCACATCTTCTGATGAACTTAAGAATATAGTTAAAATGAAACGATTGATTTTTCTAGAGTGTCCTTATGGTGTTGATCATGAAGCGGGTACATAATAGTGATTGTCGAATGACACATTTATTAAGTAGCACTGACACTTGGGAGACTGCCTTGTATGTTATTTTGATGAACTTTTCTGATAATTGATCCCACTTTAGCAGCACTACTTGCCTACTTTCTGTTTGCAGACGCATCAGCCAGTTTTTATTCAGTTGCTACAGTCTTCCTTCAGAATTTATAACTGCACCTGGCCAAATCCAGCACAGAAAGCTTCGGTGGAATCCTGTATCAGAACACTGGCTGAAGTGGGTAAGTTCATGGTACCCAGTTTGACCGAGTTAGGCATCTTCTGAAGAAATTGGGCTCTTGGTTAATGGCAGTCCAAACAGCTTTCCATTTTTCAACTTAGTAAGAAAACATGTATGGTTTCTGAAATTCGAGAAGCAATTATCAGCAAGTGATTCTGAGCATTGTAGACTTTTTGGGAAGGGGATATATTCCTATTTCTAAACTTTAATGTAATATTGCATGTGAAACTTGAATATACTTGCAGTTCAACAAGATTTTATAGGAATCATTTTAATTCATTGTTATCTCATATTTCATTGTGGAATTGTCTGGTTTATTAACAACCTGACTTACTAAGACATTCCTATGACAGCAGGACTTTCCAAGGGAATTTTAGGGTTCCAGTTTTGTTTGAAATCCATCAGTATTTATTGAGGGCCTATTATACATTGAAGGCTTAAAAAATTACAAATGAATGAGAAACAGGCGGATTACAAGGTCTCATAGTTTCTTGTGTGTGTATCTGTGTGTGTGTGCGTGTGTGTATGTTTAGGTTAGTGGTAAGGGGAGGAGGGAGAGGACATACAGGCTTGATGCCACTGAAAAGAGAGAAAAAGAAAGACCTAATTATTCTCTGGTTTCCTACAGGCATTGGGAAGGGCAGTTTATAGCATGTTTCATTATTTCATTTAATAGCTAGGTAGGGTCTTTGATTATTTGTATTTTACAGTTGCGAAAACAGAATTATCTGGGCTATGTAACTTTGCGAGGGTAATAGTATGTGCTCAGTAAATATGTGATAAATGAATAAATGATTTAACTAATTAACAACCATTTAAAATTTTTTAATCTTTCCCTCTCCCTATCTGCAATCAGACCTATGTCATTTTATAGTAACAAAATTTAACAATGGCACCATTTTTTATTAGAACACAATTTAAAAGCAGTTATAACCCAGGAAATTCAAATAAAAATTACTAAAGCTACTGGCAATGCAGTTCACCAATGTAATTAATTACAAATATTATACTTAATGGATTTTCTGTACACTATTTTTTTATTTTTTAATTTTAAAGAGGAAAAAGATAAACATAACAATGAAACCCAGTTTTAAAACAGGTTAATAGGACAGTTACAACAGTTGATGCATTGCATATTCTTGTCTTTGTAGTAGTTACTCAGAGTACGAGATACAGGCATCGTATCTTATCCAGACGATATTAGCACAAAACTTTTTTTTAGTAAACTAAGAAAAATAAGCTGTATAACTATGTTAACTATCTTGTGCATATGTATATATTTTTCTTTTTCTCTTTTTTCTTTCATCCTTTACCCCATCATTGTTTGTCTTTTCTTTCAAACAGTTTCTTCCCAATTCACAATATCTCTTGTACATTTTGGATCTTATTTACTCATGCAGTTTCTCACACTAGTGAGACAATATGATGTTTACACATGTGAGTCTGATTTATTTCACATATGAGTATGGTCCTGAGTTGCAACCGTTTACCTATAAAAGTCTCCAGGATAGCCTTCTTTATGGCGAGTAGCACTCCATTATATATATATATATATATATATATATATATATATATAAAAGCCCACATCGTTTTTATGCATTCCTTAGATGATGGGCATTTGCGTTGTTTCCAAATTTAGCTGTTACAAATTGTGCTGCTATAAACATGGGTGTGCATATTTTGCTGTGGTATGTTGTTTTTAGTTCTTCTGGGAAGCTATCCAGAAGGGGAATAGCTGGTTTGAATGAGACCTCTAATCCTAGCTTTTTGAGGAATCTCCATACTGATTTCCACAGTGGTTGTACCAGTCTACACTTCCACCAGCAGTGGAAAAGGGTTCATTTTTCCCCAGAGCCTCTCCAGCATTTGTTATCGATTGATTTTTTGATGATAGCCATTCTCTCTGGGGTGAGATGGAATTTTAGTGTTGTTTTAATTTGCATCTCTCGAATGACCAGTGATGTGGAACATTTTTGCATATATGTATTTGCCATTTGTATTTCTTCATCTGAGAAGTGCATGTTCATCTCAGATGCCCATTTTTGGATTGGGTGTTTGAATTTAGGGGGGTCTGATCATTTTTAATTCTTTACATGTTGTATATGCAAGTTCTTTGTCTATGGGACAACTGGCTATAATTTTTTTCCCACTCTTGGGTTATCTTCTCACTCTATTGGCAATTTCTTTTGTTGTGCAAAAGCTTTCTCATAAGGTGAGATCCCATTTGTGGATTCTTTGTACACAGACCTCCCTTCCGCTTTCTTCCCAGTGCTCTGGACCACACAGCTCCTTTTCATGCCCTTCCAATACTGACACTGACTTCATTCCACACCCCCTAAAGCATTTAATTAAAAGTGAATGCTTTAGGAAGAGAAGGGAAGAAATATAGGAAAAGGAAAAGGCCAAATGCCTATTATATGAAAGATACAGGAGGACAAGAGAACCTAACTTTCATTTTGAAAACATACACACAACAAAATGTCTACAGGTACATAAATAAAATACTACATTGGTTATCTCCAGGTAGTAGAATGATAGGTGAGTCTAGTTTTCTTGTTCACCCTGTCACATAATTTCTGAGTTTTCAATAATAATGTTACTTTTCAAGTTATAATAAAATAGCAGTAAATGCATTTGCTTTCATTTGGACCAAATTGGTTAGGACATGTATTTTAGCCATTAAAAGATAAAAATCCAAAGAGAAGTAAAGAAATGCCATGGTGTTAATTTCAACTTCTTTGTTTCTCCTTTCTTCTCGTCTTCCTCCTTTTCCTTGGGTGTTTAGCAGATACAATGAGGGAAAAGACCAGTGGCCTTACAAAGAAAATAAAGGGTGTGCTGTTCATAGCACCTAAAAATTGAGAGACAGAGAACCTCGAGCCACAAGTGCGATTCCCTGTTAAATTCTGATGTCAGTGGTGGGCACTGCGTACTCATATCTGTTCTTCCATAGCAGGATAGCAGAGCGTTAGGTTTTCAAATCATTACTGAAACTACATTCATCTAAATATACCTTTTATTTCTAAGTTACAAGATTTCATTTTCTATAATTTCTGAAATGGACCAAGACTTTATGATTTTAACAGAAAAACTTAGTTCCTTTTTGTATTCTGTAAATGTGTGTGACAAGAATTCTAAACAATGGTTACATCTAAATCTGTGATCACGGTGGGGTTGGAGGAGCAATGATTCCCTGTAACGTCTCAGTTCTGTCTTTGTGAGGAGGTGTGTTTGCATCTTTGTTGTTGGGCCCTGTGGTTTGCTGAGCTCTGGAGATTCCCCCTTTCCTCCCTACATCTCTCTCTCTCCTCTTCCAGTCCCTACAAGGGGCTCTGTTCAATCCCTCCTTAGTTCCTCCTTGCACCACTGCAGAAAATTCTGCTACCAGAATCCTCTTCCTCAAGTGAAAGTCTATTGGTTCAAAAACACTGAGACGAAATCCCGACTGGTAGTGGCATCTTTTGTCTAACGCACGCAGGATGGATTCCTCACTCGTGGTCTCCGCAGCCCACCCTTACCTGCCCTTTCTGTTCTTACCCTTCCCATCCCCACAAGCATTTGACAGCATAGTGAACCACCGTGCCCCAAACATCCCTCATGCAGTGCCCCATGCAGTTCCCATCCTTGCCAGGACTTTTCTGTGACTCACAATTTTTTTGTTAAAATTCCTCCATAAGACCCATTCTGGCTTGGCATGGTGGCATATTCCTGTAATACTAGCCCTTGGGAGGCTGAAACAGGATTATGAGTGTGAGGCCAGCCAGGGCTACACAGTGAAACACTGCCTCAAAAAATGAAGGGCAGAAACTCTTCTTGATCCCCATATCCGTAAGTGAACTCTCCCTAATTCACACCATTCATATGGTTTTCATTTTATCCAAGCTTATGTCATCATAAGTGCAAATATTTTCTCCCTTAGTGGATTTCAAAGGACAATAACTACAAAGTAAGCGTCAAGGAGACATTCATACAGAGTGTTTTCTAGGCTAAAGGCAAAGAGGAAAGTGTGCTTGGTGATGTTCAGACCCTGTGTTTTTGGGTTGTTGGTAGATGCTGTTCGTGGGAAAACATAGGGTCGAAATGAAATGCATTCAGAAGGAAACATGGTAGCACAGACATCCAAAAACCAGCAGTGCCATGATTGGAAACATTTGAGATATTTAGACAAGAAAACTCTGAGGCGGAACTTGCTAATTTTCCACAAACATTTGAAGTTGACAGTGGGCTTCTTTTGCAGGGTCCGATGGATAGGGCCATAACCAGAATCTGGCAGTGGCAGTAGGTCCTCCTACTTCCCTTAAAAAAACAACTGTCTTACAATGGATACTCCCTGTTCTTCCCCTAAGAGCAACAGTGGATTCTATTGGTCCCACTTCCAGAATACTTTAGTCCTTGATTGGCTCCTTCATTAGCAGATGTGGGTTACAGGGGAATCTCCTTATTGCCTCCCCTACTCTGTCCCTGTCCCACTGCAGTCCGTTCCCTGGGCAGCAGTTAGATCTTCACAGGTAAATCAGGTTAAATCGTTTGCCTACTTACACTCGCCACTGCACTTGAACTTTGTGCCCCTGGCTGTCCTCTGCCTCTGCTCCACCTACACCGCCCTTCCTTCTGCATCTCTTGTTTTCACCAGGCTTCAACCTGTCTCTCCTCAGGGCATTTGCTTGTGCCATTCCCTGTTGGATCCTAGAGCCCTGCATTGTCATTTTCTGCTTTCCTCTTGTCAGTTAGATCTCAGCTCAGAAAATCCAAGTGCTTGAAGTGTCCAAGAACCCCGTGTATAGTGTCTCAGCTTTTCCTGCCCTCTGTCATATGATTCCATTTTCCTCCTAGTGCTTGTCATATTTGAAAATATCCTGTTTGTTTGTTTATCTCTTATTTATTGTCTGCTTCCCCCATTACAACGTAAACTATGAAACAAAGGCTTTGCATTTTTCACCACGCAGGCCTAGAAGTGTCAGGTGCCGAATAATCAGGTTAACATATGTTTGTTGACTGACA